TCGCGAAAATAAAGGGTGAAAATGGCAAGGCGTTGCCTGTTATACCAATGATAGGCCTAATCCTGGACATTGGATCGAAGCCCAGTTAATCTGAAGCGTCCAAAGATAAATAAATCCTAGCCATAGATTTCGAACGGTTTTACACTTTTAACGCTCCAGATCAGCACGTGTGCATACCAACACAGATCTGCGTGTGGATGTGTTCTCGAAACCACGTGTCCTAATAATTAGCCATCATTATGCATTGAATTGGAACGGCTGTACGGTTATTGAAAGTCGTTTCGAGGCACACAGTTGGCATTGGAAACACGCGAAATCGTCACGTCAGGTGCAAATCTCCATATGAACTAGCCTCGTCAAAAGACATTCAGCCTCGGCCAGTTCGAATATGAACTCGCCTCATCAAAAGGAATTCAGCCTCGGCCAGTTCGAATATGAACTCGCCTCGTCAAAAGGAATTCAGTCTCGCCAGTTCGAATATGAACTCGCCTCGTCAAAAGGAATTCAGCCTCGCCAGTTCGAATATGAACTCGCCTCGTCAAAAGACATTCAGCCTCGGCCAGTTCGAATATGAACTCGCCTCGTCAAAAGACATTCAGCATCGGCCAGTTCGAATATGAACTCGCCTCGTCAAAAGACATTCAGCCTCGGCCGGTTCGAATATGAACTCGCTTCGCCAAGCGAATTTCTGCATCAGCCAGTTCCTAGGATGTACTCGCTTTAGCTCCAAACGAACTTCAGTTTTAAAGGCAACTTTCTTAACATTATGCATGACACTTCTTGAACTCCACGCACAGTATAAATATCTCTGCTTGGACTTGAGGGACTGATGTGACATCGTAAAAAATTTAAAATTCAAACTTTTTCTAACTTTGTTACTGAAAGTCCACGCATGACATAAATGACTACATATGGACTTGGGGGACAATTGTTACGAGTCATAATATAGAAGCGACACATGACACCATATTTCAGTGGTGGGACCAGCTTATTTAGGCCAGGATTTATTCTCCTAGCCTCTGACGTGGATTCCGAGGCTCTGGCTATTGCTCCGAGGCCCTGAAGACAGATCCTATGCCTTCACTGCCATCCCGGCCCAAGCCTCGCGTGAAAGAAGACCACATGGAAAGATATTGCAATGATGAAATATCCGTATGAATGATTGACGTGACTTTTGTATAAAGTAAACTCTATGTCTTGTCTTGTCTTGTCAATATAAGAACATTTAATGCTTTGTAGGACTAGATGATCAACTTGATGGCTAGGACTTGATGTCTTGGCTGAGGAGATGAGGCCACATGTAAATTAATCCAAATGTCATTATTCGACTTGTAACACTATAAATACCCCAACATGTAACACAAAAAAGATAATGAAATTTCTCATACCAAATAAAAAGAATACAAAACATTTGGAGCAATATTTTTCCTCTTGTTCTTCAACGTATATTTCAACTACAGATCTACAATTACAAATCTCGTTATTCATCGATTGGATTCTTATACAATCGTTCCATCTATCTTGCCGGAAGCCCGAACTCTGACGTCTCGTGCGGCGAGCTCCTCCCACGCCCACCTTCTAGAGCCTTTCTGACCGTTCTTCGGCACACGCGTGCTGGACAAAGCTTGCACGTGCATGAGTGGGCCCGACATCTATTGGCGATATTTTTTGGGGTCAACATTCTCCATTATTTTTAAAATATATTTTTCTCACTTAATTTAAATAAAATATTTTTCAATAAAATAATATTACACGCAAATCTAAATTTTTTCTTATTTTTTAACCACACATTTTTCATCAAATCATTATTTCAAAATGTATTTTTAGCTAAAAATAAGGCTCAAACAACTTGTTAAACTAGTAAAAAAGCAAATAGGATTCCCCCAAAGACATGACACAGTGGTACAACGGAAGGTTATTTACGAAATATCGGAGGTCCGAATCCCCACGACAGTTGAAAGACAACATTTACATTGAACGGAAGATGTCCTGTGGTGGCAAAATTATGGTGCGCTCGCCTCTCCGAGGTTCTGTCCTCACGTCGTAAATGAGGTCCACAGGGAGGAAAACTACTTTCCGAATGTCCAGCCCAAGTGTGTATAAGTTATGACTGCATCTAAATTTACCTAGGTGGCGAACCAGGCGGAAATACCGTCACTCCTCATAATTAGTCAGGCGAAACTCAGACACCTAAATTATATATTAAAAAAAAGCGAATAGGATAATTTAGAGTTCATTTGGTTTGTATTTTAATTTTCAGTTTTGAGTTATTTTCATTTTTTTGTTTTGAAGGTTTATTTAAAAACTTTTGAAAACGTGTTTAATTTGTCATTTTGAAAAATTATTTCTCAAAATAGAAAACTAGAAAACTCATTTGGTTCGGAATTTTGAAAAACTGCTTTATAACATTTTATTCAATGAAATTTAATTATTCAATAAAAATAGAATAATTTTATGTTAATATATTATCAAGTAATATATACATTTCAATTTTGGTAAATTTTAGAATTTTTTTTCTTGCTACAAAAGTAAGATAAAAATAAAAATTTGAGTTCAAAATATAAAAAATAAAAATTAATGACATGAATTAAGAAATTTTTTATTCATGTTCATTTAAATATGTTTTAGAAGTTTTATGTAAATACTCATTAATAGCTTGAACTATTTTATTTTTCTAGAAAATTTTATAATTTTATTTTTTCAGAATTTTTATTTTCTATTTTCTATTTATTTTTTAGAATTTAGAATTTATTTTTTAAAAAATTTAAAATTTATTTGTTAGAAATTTCTATTTTCAAAATTTTTATTAAAATAAAATTTTATTAAACGTTAGTTTTCCATATTTTAACTATTTTCACTTAAAACTCTCAAAACATGCATTTTTAGAAATAACAGATCAAATATATTTTCAATATTTTGAAACACTAAAAATCAAAAAATAGCTTGAAAACAATAAACGTACCCTTATATTTTAAACGGATTGAAAATTCGACATTGTATTTTCATTTTTTATTTTGACGACTTTCCTTTCCTTTTTTTTTTTAATTATTATTATTGAAATGAAGGGAGCCGGGAGCCAGACTTTGAGACTTGGGTTAACCTCTTTTATGGTAGTCCTGAAATATAGATACACACACGTATATAAGCCCTAAAGTATAGATCTTCCCGGTTTGCTAATCGCAGCCTAATAGTTTCGATTCTTACCAGTCAAGGTGCGTAACCAATTTATATTTTATATACCCTAGTTTCGCTATTACTCAAATCGACGTTGAATTACTTTTGATTACGGAACATTTGAAAGAGAATTTTGAACTAAATTTTGCACAAATCTGGACTTTTTAATTCCTGGTTTCATCTCATCTTTTCCGCTTCTTTAATAGTCTATTTACGTGTTAGAATTGTAGTTTAAATTATGCACGAATTTTTTTTTTTCTGCTTTTATAATAGATTTTTCGTTTTGTTGACTTTGTGGAAGAATCGAGTTTCACGTATACCAAATCTGTACTTTTTGTTTCTATAATTTGCCTCCCTAGTCTGGTGAATGGCATATTTACATACAGTTTTGAGGGCTAGTGTATAAGATTATTTTTTTTTAATTTTTTCCGTAAGTAGTGCAATGGATGCTTAAGCTCTTCAGTTAGTACCTGATTTTGGTATTACTATGGGAAGAGAATTTTTATTGTTGGGTTGGAGTGGGTATTATCGAAAAGAATAAGATACAGCAAAGGAGACAAAAAATAACGAAGAAAATGAATATGTAGAAGGATGAAGACTTGAACACGGAAAATGTATCCTTGCCCTCAAATGATATTTGCCTCTTCCAAAATGCTTTTAAGGATTGAAATTGACAAATAGTTTGTAGGATTAATCAAGTCTAATTGAAGAACACCAAAAGCAAAGTGTTTCTTCAAGGTAAACAAGTGAAAAAATAGAAATTTGATTTTGTAAAGTGAAAAAATTTCTTCAAGGTTTTTTGGATGAATAATGGAATGAATTTTTATTATTATATTTTGGAATGAAAACTATTGTGTATTTATAGTTTCCAAACAACCCATACGAAATGGTTCCAAATTCAAGTGAATAGGTGCATTGATTCACTAATAAACCACCAAAAAATTTTGAAAAAATCCAACCAACGCTCAAAAAATTTGAACTTGCGAGCGCATGTAGGAGTGTCCAAAAGTCTCGAACCGAATCGAACGGTTCTTCATAAGTTAAATACCCGAACGGGTATCCGAATCGAGAACCGATGGGTTTGAGTCGGGTATCGGGTCTAGACCAAGAACCGAAGAATCGAATAAGAACCGAAACTAAATAAATTTTTTATTTTTTATATTGAATTAATTAAATTATTTTATTTTTTCTAGACATATTAGAAACTAAATAATTTTTATTATTTTTTATATTGAATTAATTAAATTAATTTATTTTTTTTGAACAAATTAACAAATTAATTAAATAAATAGTACCAATACTTAAAAATATTTTATTTTTATAACTTTTAATTTATATTTCATTTTCTTTATGCAGGCATACTGTTTGAAACAAATGAATTTACTTTATATAGTGTTGCTATAATATTAATATCAACTTTTTGGTATTTGTAGACATTGAATTAATCTTATTGGACGACTAGTTATTTATATGTTTTTGAATTGGGCTACATTAATTTGTAAAAGTTACAAATGAAATGTCATTAGTTGTATTTATGTAGTGCTGTTGTAAATATTAAAAAAATTAATTATGGTACGGAACCGAACAGAACCGAACCCAAACAGTTCCATAATTATATTTGGACTCGACGTTTCCATTTATCAAATACCTGAAAATTTTGGGTTGATTCGGTTCTCTTTAAAACTGAACCGAACCGACACACGGACAGTCCAACCGCATGGTTCAAAAATTCCCTGCGGGCACCTGTGCGGTTCGCATGCCCATATGGCATATGCGGTCCTATAGGCCATTTTAATGGCGCCAAATAGATTTTTCTTCCTTTTTTCAATTCATCCATCCACGATCCTTTTAATTCATCCAACCACGATTTTGAATAACAAGATTCCAACAGTGAGAATATTTTGCTGGTGATACTATGGAAAGTACAACTTGTGTTGGAGGTTTAAGGTAGTCAGTTTGTTGACATGCAACTGCGGCCTCAGAATTTGGACATGTTAGAACCAATTCAATGTTGAATGGCATTTTCTTTAATTCTAAATATGATGCCTCATTTCAAAGAGACCTTTGAGTCGAGATCTTAGAATATAGACGGCCTGGTATATGATGAAAGGTCTTTGGTTGAAATCTATATTTTATTTTTTGAGAAAATTTCTGAAAGATAGATGAAAAGTTTAAGAGTTTGCAAATTGGTCATCTTAGCATTTCACCCGTATGGAGCTGCCTGAGATGTTCTTTCAAGCCTAATCTGCCAATTATGCATAAAGAAGCAAGAGAATGAGTTACCCCTTTCTTAATCCTCTGTGATGTGACGAAATTGGGAGGAGAATGTATATTAGGGAAAAAGCTCGTAGATGCCTAACCTGCCTATTATGCATAAAGAAGCGGGAGAAGGAGTTACCCCTTTGTTAATCCTCTGAGATGTGACAAAATTAGGAGGAAAATGCTCTTAGATGCCTACATCAGTGAACTGGGCGGAATAGCACTTTTAGGATTTCTGATTAATGTAGCAGTCTGTTTCAAGATTTGAGGCTTTAAATGACGTCATCCCATTTTGATCTGTGTTAAATGAGAATCTTACTTCTTGGTTTGATAAATTAGATGCTTGTTACTTCAAAACTATCATAGACAGTGGGGTGTGTTGCATATATGCAGGTTCATGCCTTGGAGGTTCTATTAGAAACTCTACTTATATAAGAAAAAGAACACCTTCTATTAACGACACTTTTATTTTAAGTTCTTCAAAATCAAGTTGTTGGTCTTGTTTTGTGAGAAAAATGAAAACCCGTGCATTTCTCAGATATTCTTGGGGTGAAACATATACATAGGAACAGAAAGCAAGAATTGAAACTCAACATTGACTGTTGTGTGGGAGCTGGAGCATGAATATTAATTTATTGAAAGATTGTTAACTATTAACTTTTTATGTACCTTGACGTTCTAAGATCCTAAAAAAAAATATTTAATATTTAAAAAATGACTTAATTTATTAAGTCGAGTTTGATAGAGCAGAGTTCTGGCCATTTTGAACAAGATACAAACGAGATTAACTGAATTATAACGGAATAATAAGATTTTCTATAATCTTGATTCCAGATGATTCATGCTCTCAATTTTAATTGAATAATGGAGTGAATTGATTTGAATTATATGACAAAAATCATGTATTATTGGATTTTGACTAACATATAAATTTATGTGGGAGAGTGGGGAACAAATGTTGGATGAGTTGTTTGTAGGAAAACCTAACTGTTGAAGTTAAAATTTTAGATGACCTTGATAAGCATTTATGTCACCATCGTATGCGGAAATCTTATTTATCTAATAGCTGATTTATATCAGAATGGTCCTAGAGTTCACCAAGAAACTTGTCTCTCAACTGATATACTTACTGTTCAGAGAGTAAAAATATGTATGTTCTAATACATGTCAACTGAAGCTTTCACAAAAATAGAAAGTTGTGTAATCGTTAATACTCAGGAGATAGAAATTTGTTTGAAAAATGGAGATTATATAGTGGTGCGTTTTGATCATCTGAGAACCAATATAACATGTTAAGAAGCCAATTAATATCTTAATCTATGATGATAGACTTTCCTTTGAGTTCACTAGGAAAATGGCTTTATGAGGGAAAGTTATATTTACTTCCGACCTTGAATAAGGTGTATTGCTTTTTCTAGCCCAACCTTTCTATGGCACGACACTTGATCTTTGTAGTTATTTGAGGTGAAATTATTGCCTTGTCTTGCATTCTATAGGGGAAATCTATGTTGTCTGAATTCAATGTTGACTAAACTACAGGACCTATAATCTGAAAGCTGCCACCATGTCGTCGTCACATCTTCCAGCAACTACAGATTCACTTGTTCTGGCTACTGAAACAAAAACCCCATCGGAGGCAATATCTATCCTCTATCGCATACTTGACAATCCCTCATCATCCTCTGAGGCCCTAAGGATAAAAGAACAGGCCATCTCCAACCTCTCTGATCTTCTGAGACAAGAGAACAGAGCCGAGGAACTAAAAAATCTACTGATCCAGCTCCGGCCCTTCTTCTCATTGATACCCAAGGCAAAAACTGCAAAAATTGTCCGTGGAGTTGTTGACGCAGTAGCCAAAATACCAGATACATCAGATCTCCAGATTGCCCTCTGCAAGGAAATAGTGCAATGGACCCGTACAGAGAAGCGAACTTTCCTTCGCCAACGAATTGAGGCAAGACTTGCAGCTCTTTTGATGGAAAACAAGGAATATTCTGAAGCATTAAATCTTCTTTCAGGGCTGATAAAGGAAGTGAGAAGATTAGATGATAAGCTGCTACTTGTCGATATAGATTTGTTGGAGAGCAAGCTCCATTTTTCTTTGAGAAACCTTCCTAAAGCTAAGGCTGCACTTACTGCTGCAAGAACAGCTGCCAATGCTATTTATGTGCCTCCAGCTCAGCAGGGCATTATAGATTTACAAAGTGGAATTCTTCACGCAGAAGAGAAGGATTACAAAACTGCTTATAGCTATTTTTATGAAGCGTTTGAAGCTTTCAATGCCCTCGAAGATCCCCAGGCCATATATAGCCTCAAGTACATGTTGCTCTGCAAAATTATGGTTAGCCAAGCTGATGATGTTGCAGGAATAATATCTTCCCCCAAGGTGGGCTTGCAATATCAGGGCCCAGAACTCGATGCAATGAAAGCCATTGCCGATGCTCACTCAAAACGCTCGTTGAAGCTTTTTGAGACTGCTCTTCGAAATTTTAGGGCTCAGCTAGAGGAAGATCCTATTGTCCACAGGCACCTTTCTTCCCTTTATGACACGCTGCTCGAGCAGAACCTTTGCAGGTTGATTGAACCTTTCTCGAGGGTTGAGATTGCTCATATTGCTGAGCTAATTGAATTGCCTGCTGACCATGTCGAGAAAAAATTGTCACAAATGATCTTGGATAAGAAGTTTGCAGGAACGTTGGACCAGGGTGCTGGATGCCTTGTCATTTTTGATGATCCCAAAACTGATGCTATATATCCAGCTACACTTGAAACCATCTCGAATATGGCCAAGGTTGTGGACAGTCTTTATGTGAGATCTGCCAAAATAATGGCATGAGGTCGAGATTGTTTGATGCCCTTCCAGTCAGCAGCTACTCTACCCTTTTCTGTCTCGGGATTCATCAGGTTGTGCTTGCTTGTCTTTCTCTATTAACACACTCTGCAAGTGAGTGTAGTTTCGCTCTAGGTTCTTTAAATTCTTAGAATTTTCAATTCCCATGATGTGCTTTGTGTTCATTTGAACCTTTTTGGTTATTTTCGAAGGCAGACTGATAGTCTTCCTGGATATTTGTCTGTGGTGTAGTTCGTAACTTGCTATGAATTTATTGAATAAAAATGGAAGCAGAGCTTAATCGTAATAATAGGGTTAAAAACATTGTTAGCTGCCCAGCTTAACCGCATTTCTACGTCTATTGGTAAACAAACTTTCTAAATCTTGTACATTCTTTTAGTCGAACCACCAAACATGTCATGAATTTCTTGAATTGCCCTATAAGAGCATCTCACGACGAGAAGTCAAGATGTTCCATTACGCAGGAGGCTTACCCAGTAAATGTTGACAAATTCTATTGAAATAAACAGTTCAATATCGTAACACTAGACGCTGAAATGTACATGACTACAGCGTTTCACTTGGCCAGTATATTTCTTCAAGTTGCCTTTTTCAATGAAGTTGCAATAAGAAAGGTTGAAATCCCAACCAAGCATCTATAAATTGTAATTCGAACTGTTGTCAAAAGACATGGTGAAGAACTTGGTTCAAACATTGTTCCCAGATTCAGGTGATTGAGAATGACAATAAAGATGGACTGAGAAACAACGATTTCAATGCACAATCAATTTATTCAATTAACTCAAAGAACTGCAACTTTTTGGCCTTGCAAATTTTTTATTTATTGAGAAAATGTGTGATTGAAATAAGAGTGACAAAATGTAAATTTTAAAGAATATGTATCAAACAGGGCTTAACCTTAATTTTGGTCGGGGTCAGAGAGGGAGAAACGTGTTTTCTGTAGCCATTCAGGTGGAGCACCGCCTTGTGTTTCTTCCTCACTTGCAAGAAATGGCAGCTTATCCTACGCCGCCACCATCAACTTATCCTGCGCACCTCACACCTGCAGCATTCCAGTCACCATCCCATGTTTTCACACATTCCCCATATTGTCCCTATGCTTCCAATAAAGTACATTAATCCACCCATCTTTCTTTCTCACTTGGTTGCTCTTTATGATATTAAGACTTGAAATTACATCTTAAAAAACCAACATTCTTAAAAAAAAGTAGCACAAATCCTTATATATTGATCTAGATTTACATCCTTATTCGATATAAAATTTATCCCTTAACATGTCCTCAAAAGATGATGATTCATTTGAATAAACCAATCTTGAAATTCGCTTGCTCATTTTTTGAATATTAATCGAATCGAATTGCTCATTAAAACTTAATGAGCGCTGATATCATATCAAAACTTGAGATTCCATCTTCAAAATTCAAACTTCTTAAGAAAACCCCCGTTTTAACATCCATTTTGTTTGAAAAATAATTTTTGGAATAGTAATTAATGAAAGATTATGTGGTTAAAAAGTAAGGAGAATTTTTGGATTTATGTGTAATATTATTTTATTAATAGAATGTGTGGTTGAAATGAAAAAAGAAAAATAGAACGAGAAAAAAATGGATGTCAAACAAGGGCATATTAATCTAGATTTTCATCTTCATTTGATATGAAATTTATTCTTAACACATGGTATGTGTGTGTCTATGAATTTATTTATTTTGGCATTTCAATTTTTTTAACGTCAAGTCTCAAGAACCTCATTTGAAATTTTGTGTTCTTGATTTTGTTGTGCAGTGCAGGAAGTGGAAGAGAGTTATACATTATGATTAAGACCGACAGGGTCTAACGTGGCCGTGTAATCCATGTTTAGCAAGTTTCAAATGGATTCGAGAGAAAAATATGTATCTGATTTAAGTTTAATATATAAGCAGCCGAAAATAAGAAAACGCAAAGCAAACATACAGATTGATAGTGGTTGATCCTCAATGTGAGATTACAAGAACTGTCAAGTGCTAAGCATCTGACCATTGCTAGGACTTTGTGAAACACTGGTAGAAGAAAAAGCACTGCCTGCCAACTTAACCACCCCATCAGATGAGCTTACTGGTAAAGAAAGTTGTTGAGAGTCCTTGTACCTTGAAAACAGGCAGAGGATAGACAGGCTTTTAGTCCCTTGTTCTTTAGAGGTGCCTGTAGATTCACAGCTACTGGGAACTGGTAAAGAATCAGTTGAGGAAAAATCAGCCTCGAGAGTCATTGCCTCTGGTTCCTTCGAATCACTTGCCATGGTACAATTTACGTCTTCTGTCCCCATTGAATTCTCGACGACTATGCTTGGATTGCGAAGGGAACCTTGTTTAAGCTTCAAAAGTGTAGCTTCTGCACAGTAAACATATATTCCATAAGTATATGAAAAACTGCGTAGTGTATCTGAGCAGATGTTCGGGATGAGTTTGTAAATGGATAGAAATGAGTGATATATAAGTGAGTGGTACTTGTGATTCATACGAAATGTGTGGATAAAAAATTGTTTGATTGTTGAAGTAAACTTTTATTCACAAATATGCACGTAAAAAAAATAAAACGTTACTTATTTTCAATTTTCAACAGCAAAAAATTAAGGTATTCACTTATAAGTAAATTTATAAGCTCATGTATTCATTCCCATCGGTCTAATTCATCTTTTCCACCAAAAAAAGGGAAAAAATTTGAGAATGGCACTCAATTTTGGTTAAAAATCCGTCATCAAATTCTCAATTAATTTACCAATTCCGGTCAATTACTGATACCTTTTCAAACATCCAAACAAAAGATTCTCAATTTTTTTCGTGGAGTAAACTCCTGCTTTAGAACGATATCAATTCAGAAAAGGAACAAAAGCGGAATTTCACCTAAAGATTATATTAGAAATGCATAAATATCGAAAATAACGTAAAATTACCGGTTCATCTACAAAAATAAAAAAATCTTACCGTAAATCGAAAGAGAATCATCTTTGATGATCTTCGAATTGGGTCTTTCCAACTCCAACAGCTCTAAGGAGTTGATTGATGATGGCCTCACTCTCCCCAGCATTTTCCCGCTACGCTTTCTCTAGAAAGTGTGAATAATATACAGCATCAAATTTCTATAATTAGGGCAATTTTCGAAATTTCACGCGCCAAAAAGGGGCGAAAGTGAGTTAGCGGGAAGTATATTGTCAGGCCGGGACCCACATAACAGATCAAATTGGATTGGTAAATTTACACAAATAGCACTAAATTGTCCAAAATAGGTTCGACACTTGGGATGTGTTAAATGAATATTATTAAGAAAAGAATATATTTTAAATAGTGATATTAGAGAAAATATGTAGTTAAAAAGTAAGAAAAATTATTAATATAATAAAAAAATTATTTTATTGAATTGAAAAAATAATTTTTTGATAAAAATGAAGCTCAAACAAAGCTTTAAACTTTTACCTTAATTTTTTTGTGTTGGGTGCGGGGCCATGGTGGTCGATGGTCCTATTGAAGGAAATGAATAAGAAGGAATTATTCCTTTCAATATTATACAAGTGATAATAAAGTTCATGTTTGGGCTCTATTATTATTATTATTATTATTTTAACATTTTTTTCTTTATTCTTTTCATACACACATTATTCAATAAAATAATATTACATGTAAATAAATATATAAAAATTAACCACACATTCTTAAAAAAATCACTATTTCAAAATACATTTTCTCAAAACTTTATTAAAACGGAGTCCAAACAAGAGCAAATATAACATCCTCTAATATTGGGAAGTCCATATCTGTCAACCTACACAAAGGCTAGGATATGTCGTGATAAGTCGAGTGAACCAAACTCCTGATAGTGACGTTGGTCCTAGCTCACGAGTGCTAGTGAATCGACAATCTGGTTTCCCTCACGATAAGTGTGGAAAATAATCACAGTCAAAAGACACAGATGTTGATCTGTTTGAAAATGATTTAAATCACACATGATCCCCCACCCCTAGTGATGCAGTGTAGGGCCACATGAGAGTCTCCACCAAAATGTCTGATAAGCCAAATCGTAGAGCAAGTGAAATTCAATCCAAAACAGTCCAAAGCTCAGCCTACAGATAAAACAGTTTTCATAATGTCCAGAAAGCTCTAATACAATGTCCATCATGATAGCGAATAATGCCACCACCATTATCAAAATCATCCTCAATGCATTCATCGATGAATAACTTGTGAAATTCCACCTTTGAAGTACGCCAAAATAGGGGGTGCGGAGGGAAAAGTCAAAGAAACACAAATGGAGTGATAGTCGAGTCACCCCCACCAAGGGTAATTGGAGCAAAACGTCCCTACCTTTGACGGGTTTTGTGCAAAACGTCCCTACGTTTTGTTTCTTGGCACAGAACGTCCCTACATTTCACATTTTTGGCGCAAAACATCATTTTCCCCAATTTTTGACAATTTTACCGTTCAATTAAAATAAAACAAAAACAAAAGAAAAGAAAAATACAAAATAAATTGCAATCTTACTCCTAGACTTTTCTAAAAGTGCAAATAAGTCCAAAACTTATAAAAATATTAAAAAGAACCAAAAAAAAAAAACTCTCTTAATCTCCTAGTCGCCGGTTATGGACCAAATTTTCACCTCATTTCGGCCACCAATACCACCTGATATCACTACCAACTTAATCTTCTCAACATTCTATACAATTTCCACCCAAGAACTCCCCATTTCATCCACTTATACGCCCGAAATCATGCATCAAAACTAGCAAATCAAAATTCTGCAACCTGCCGGAAATCTCTCCTTCGGCCACCGTCATGGTCGCGGACTACCACGAACTGTCTGCCTAGGTCTAGGAGACAGAATATGGCCCAAATTCACTTCAAACAACACACCATCAAATTGAATTAATTCATGAAACAACGCCAACCACGAGCTCTTCTCTACGCTTCGAAGAACTCTGATTTTGGCGCCGTCCGACCAACCCAGGGTCACAGACCACCGGGTTGGGTTCGTCTTCAACATGAGCAGCTGACCCACTGATGGGTCAGACCCAATTACGCCCAGAACAGGTTCAATTTTCGTCTGAATTGTTCGCCTGTGTGAACTCGCGGGTTGCTTGCGTTGTAATTTTTGAATTTGATTTCCAGCAAAATCTGTCGGAGTTGGGGCTGGTGGTTGGGTAGGTTGTGAAGAGGGCAATGAGGGCTTCAAGGTGGTATGTTGATCCGACGGCCAAGGTGATCGAAGGTTGATGAATTTGCCTTCAAAGGTGGTGGCTAGGAGGTGGTGATTTTTTCATGTTAGTGACTGATTTGCACATTTTTAAAAGTAAGAGCTTCAAGGTGGTATGTTGGTCCGACAGCCAAGGTGATCGGAGGTTGAGGAATTTACCTTCAAAGGTGGTGGCTTAGGGGGTGATGATTTTTTCATGTTTTTAACTGATTTGCACATTTTTAAAAGTTTGGATCCATAATTGCAATTTATTATATATTTTTCTTTTTTTTTTTTGGTTTTATTTTAATAGAAGGGTAAAATGGTCAAAAAATGAAAAAAAAAATGACGTTCTGTACCAAAAATGTGAAAGTTATGGACGTTCTGCGCAAAGAAATGAAACAAATGGACGTTTTGCACAAAACTCTTCAAAGGTAGGAACGTTTTGCGCCAATCACCTCCCACCAGCTGAATTTTTAGGACATTAAGCCCCTATTTTCTAGGAATTAAATTTAAATTTTAATCTAAGTCAAAAGTTACAATTTTAACCACATATCTCATAATATTCACAACTTTTTAATCATACACTTCATCAACTTTTATTAAAATCTATTAAAAATTTAATTTTAATCTCCACAAACAAGGGCTAAGTTATGAATTCTGATGTAGAAAAATTCAATAACGGCCTCATTTTTGTGATATTCTCAAACACTCTGGTTCGCCGACTAAAAACTTCAAGAAATATGAAACAGCCCAAGAAGTCAGAAAATAATACTTGTTCACTTCGTCCTCCCTAGTAAGCAAACCAAAATTTTCTAGACAAATTCAAATATTACAGTCCGATCAAACTGCAAGGCCTTGTGGGGAAGCAGCAGCAGGTGTTTTGGGCTTAGTCTTCTCCACAACAATGGCTTGTGTTGTAAGAACCATTCCAGCTACTGAAGCTGAGTTTTGCAAAGCACATCTAGTAACCTTAGCTGGGTCGATCACTCCAGCTTCTACCAGGTTCTCATACTTGTCTTCCATAGCGTTGTAACCCACCTCCCAATCACTAGCCTTCACTTTCTCCACAACCACTTCACCTTCAATCCCAGCATTTTGGGCAATCAGAGATGCTGGCCCTACTAGTGCCTAAAACCACAATCATAATATCAAAGGAACATCAAGCTCTGTTGCAAACATAATTAAGTAAAGGGAAATAGATAATACTAGTTTTCAGAACCATAGCAAACGGAACCAGAAGTTCTGAAGGTAAGGTGCGTCCGCCTCCTTACTGTAACTTTTATTTTTCATTTAATCTGTGGGTAGGGTCTGCCACATTGCCGTGTCCTCCACCTAGGCACTGGTGAGATTATATAAAAAAAGATCCAAACTATATCTTCCTCTATATCCTATGTCGTTGCTAAGATGAAAGAAACATTACCTAATTTGACTAGGTCTCACTCCCGAGCGTGCAATGTGTCACGGATACTTAGAGCATGAAGTAAAATAATTTTAGATATGAACAAAATTCCCAATCTTGTTGTCACACTTAGTACAAGTAGTGTCAGAGCTAGACTTGAAACCAGTAGTAGTAGAAATGTATTATTGAAAAAACGAAATCTCAAATTTTAGTGGGGGCCAGTGATGTCTCCCTCGGCCACCAAGCACAAGTCATGGAAGTAAAAGAATGCAAAATCTAGATGAGCAGTGAAAATTTAATCAATTTAATAAAATCTAGTGTTCTAAAAGGCGCTCCTAGGTGTCGCCAGGCGCGATGCACAACGGAAATGCCAAGCAAAGGGCTTGGCGCCTTATTTAGCGGTCAACGATTGCCATTGACCACTAATGTGTGCCTAGGCGCGATTATGCGGGTCTAGGTAGGCATTATTATCATTTTTTTTTTTAAAGTTAAAACTTAAAGGTTGATTTACATTTGAAACTTAGCTTTTTGTCGAAAACTTTTGAAAAAATTTATAAAGTTCCTATAATTCTATTTTAGATGTTTGATATGTATTATATTTAATTATTAAATGATTTTTTGATTGATTAAACATTAAAATAAGAAAATATTTGTTTACGCATATGCCTTGTCTAAGCTCGCCTAGCTCATAGCTTGACCTTCACGCTTCGCCACACGTTACGCCTTTTAGAACACCGATAAAACCTTTACTTCTCAAAAACTAGAGAATCAACACATTTAAATAGGAAGATATTAAGGTACTACGAGCAAAAATACTGCATTTTTTTTACCTTTTGTATGATGTCAGCACCCAGACGCTCATCAGCATCTTCAAGCTTGTCCTTGATGGCAGGGACATAAGTAGACAGATGAACTAAAGCAGCACCGCCACCAGGAACAATGCCTTCCTCAATGGCAGCAAATGTAGCATTTTTGGCATCCTCAATACGAAGTTTACGATCCTCAAGCTCGGTCTCTGTTGAAGCACCAACTTTGATAACAGCAACACCACCAGACAATTTGGCAATTCTCTCAGCAAGTTTCTCAGAGTCGTAAACCGAATCCGTCTCTGCCAACTCCTTTTTCAGTTGGGCTATCCTAGCTTGTAGCTCATCCTTTGATGCAGCATCAGCAATGATAGTAGTGGAATCTTTGGAGATGGTTATCTTTCTCGCAATACCCAACTGGTCAACATCAGTATTTTCAACAAGCAGACCCAAATCACTAGCTTGAAACTCAGCGCCTGAAAAGCAGCAAATATGCACTTCATTCTATACCTACACACTTCATATTGCAACCAAAAAATATTGATAGAAGACCACAACAGAGAATAATCTAAGTAGGTATTTGACAAAACCCTTGAACTTTCTGTAGCAATACTTTATGACTTGCCTATTTTGGCTGGAACCTCAATTACAATATA